ACACATATATGTATGTAAATAAATGCATATGTTTAAAATATTTTTTTTAAAGAGAAGAGAGGGGAGAGGAGGGGAGAGGAGGGGAGGGGAGAGAAGAGGAGGGGATGGAAGAGGAGGGGAGGGGATGAGAAAAGAGGAAATGCTTTGGAATCAATTCCAGGTCTTCACCTGGAATGCAAACATGAGTATCTTAGGGTCCTGCTCTGAGGGCTTAAGGGTTAGAGATGCCATATGGCATACAGAAGAGTCAATCCAGAAAGCTGTGCACCCAGCACAGTCCTCCCACATCACTGCCCTCTGTAGCCAGGTGCTCTATATCTAGGTGCCCTCCCCCACCTCCGATTTCCTGCCTCCCTCTCTCCCTCCATTTCCCTCAGTCCTTCTTTCTCTCTTGTTTTCCTTAACCACATAATTTGTGCCAAAGAATTTTCTTTTAGCAATTGTTGCTCTTGTTGAACCAAAATGATTAAAAAATCTTATAAATCCATAAAAATCTAGAAATCATGAAATCAGTTTATGTGTGATTCTCAATCCATTTTCCTGAATGCTGAACAAAAGCATCATGGGTGTGTATGCGTCTGTCTGTCTGTCTGTCTGTCGGTCTGTCTGTCTCTCCATCCATCCGCCCATTCCTGGTTCTCATTGGGCTATTCCCTGAGCTCTTGTCTTACCTTTAGTAATAGACTTCAGGTTTTTGAAAGTATAGACAGGGTCTTATTTTATATACATAGTCTCAGGCCTAGAATAAAAGAACTTGTTCTCAAATGATGAACTGAACTGTGAAATTAAAATTATCTCCTGTTCCAGGACACTCTCTTTTGCCTGTCCAAGCCTTGGGCAGAAATGACCTCCTTACTGGATGGCACAGCATAGAGCTTAGACATAGAGCTTCAGAACATGTTCCATGCTTTCTAGGAGCTGCTGAGAAATGGGCTCAGAGTTGCAGGGTCACTATGCTTTGGCTAGGCACCTCCATCTAAGATATTTCTTGGGAGGGGCTGGAAAGATGGCTCAGTGGTTGAGAGCACTGGCTGTCCTTGCAGAAGACCCGGGTTCAAATCCCAGCACCCACATGGAGGCTAACAACCATCCCTAACTCCAGTTTCAGAGAATCTAGTGCCTGCTTCTGTTTTCCATGGGCACCGTATGACATGCAGCCATTACACTCAAACACATAAAATAATTTTTTAATTAAATAAATAAAATACTGCTTTGAGAGTTGGCTTCGCAGACCCTGGGCCTGTAGAGCACATGGCTTTATGAGAACTCCACCTTCCTATGGTCACCATACTGCCACCCAGGAAGTGTCAGGAGGTAGAATGGTTTTTAATTAAATAAATAAAATACTGCTTTGAGAGTTGGCTTCGCAGACCCTATGGTCACCATACTGCCACCCAGGAAGTGTCAGGAGGTAGAATGAGCCTATAGTACTGTTCCCTGGCTTCCAGACCACCTGGGCTCCAAGCGTACAACTCATAAAGGGAGAGAGAAGGGCCAAGGAACTGGTGCGATCTGATTTCCAAGGCCTGCTTTGATCTCCCCACAGCGTGCACTCGATGTGGCCAAGTTGAGCCACTACAGAGAATATTCAGGAATTACAGCTGCATACCTTTCTAGTGCCCAAGCTAAGCTACTTCTAGACAGTTCCAGAGTCTGCCCTCCAACCCAGTCATCACAGCAATCCCAGATACTCCTATCTCTTCCACAGGACCCTCCCTCTTCTCCCCTTAACCTGATGACCAGTTCTTGACTTCTTTAACCATGGTCAACTCAAACAGGTACCCTACAGCACTCCTTCCTCCCAAGCACTACTTTCTGCCTTCCAGGAAAACTCAGAGGGAAAAATAGTCACCTATACACCCAAAAACAAGGCCCTTCCACCCACACCAGAAAGTATTTGCTCCAGCTCTCTTCTTAAGCCATCCCCTAGCCACACCTCTTCTCTCTGGTCACCAGTTCTCTGCTTCTCCTTATTTGACAGAAGTCCAGCATTTTCCTAGCACCACTGTATGTGTGAGGGTTCCCCAGAGAAACAGAACCCAAAGGATGATGTATACATGCATGCATGCATACATATGAGAAGATTTATTATAGAATTGAATCCGACAATTCTGGAAGCCAGGAAACCATTGGTATTATTCATCCCAAGACTATAGACCTGAGATCTGGGGTTGAGGATGGAGGAAACATGGTAGTATAACCTTCACAGTCCAAAGTTCTGAGAACCAAGAGCTCTGCTGTTCAAAGGCAGAAGCAATATACTCCCCACACAGAAAAAGACAGAGAGAGACGAATGCTCTTCACACCTTTGTGCTCATGTTCCTCCATGGACTGGGAATTGCCTGCCCATGCTGGTAACAGCAGATCTTCCTTGTTCAGTTCAGTGACTCAAACCCTGATCTCTTTCAGAAACACCTTCACAGACACACAAAACATACTTCGCCAGTTACCTTGGTATCCCTTAACCTCATCAAGTTGATACATAAAATTACCTATCACAGTCATCAGTCTGGCTACTGAACATCTCTCCTCTCTTTCAAGTACAGTCTGAGGCTTGTTGGTCTAAACCAATGGCTCATGGAGCAGCCCTGCTCTGGGTGACACATTCACTGTACTTCCCTGAACTTGGGCCTCAATATCATTCACCATAATAATCCAGCCCAGCCAGTGGCTTCTCTGAGGCTACAGAGGCTGGGAAAGAGTCTCCGGGCCTCCTCAGCAGATGGAACACGGTGACACTTCCAAAAATCTTCCTTCTCTTAAAGAGACCTATATTCAAGAAGGCAGGACATGAGTTTCAGCTGCTTCTTTCTTTTCCCAGATGCTTCTTTTTCTGTAGTAGAGAAATCGTCTATCTCCCTACTTATTGCTAAGAAATGCTTGGGTTATTTTTTTTAATTGAGACAGGTTCTCACTAAGCTGTCCAGGCTAGACTTGAACTTAAACTTGAGATTCCCCCTGCTTCAGACTCTCAAGTAGTTGGGATTACAAACCTCTGCTTCCAAGTCTGACTGTCTGAGTCGATTTTTAGAGTGTAAAAGGGAAGGTGCTCTATAAACAATATCGTCCCTGAAGCTGAAAAGTCACCTTTTCATTATATAATCATGCATCATTTAACAGTAGGAGGTATTCTGAGAAATGCCTCTGAAGGCAATTTCATCATGCAAATGTCAGAGTGTACTTATGCAATCCTAGACAGGATAGCCTACCATGCACCTAGATTTTTGTATATATTTTATATCTTTCTATATTTCATATCTCTCTATATGTTATAATATATAAAGTATAGACCATTGCTACTAGGGCTATAGTGGATAAAAAAAACACAAGATTAAATTAAGCACAAGAAAAAATGATGCAATTGAGAAACATAGTAAACCATGAGATGTAAGGCATTGCAGGCGGCATAATGTTTTGTAAAATGGTATGTGTGTGCCTGTGTGTGTGTGTGTGTGTGTGTGTGTGTATGTGTGTGTGTGTGTGTGTGTACATTCTTGAGTGGGCATGTGCACTTCTGCCTACAGGTATGTTTGTAGCTGCATGTGTGTGTGGAGGTCAGAAGATAACCTCAGATGTCATCTTTCAGGTGCCTCCCACCTTTTGAGACAGAGTTTCCCATTGTCCTGTAACTAGACCAGCTGACCAGTAGAGCTTCCAGGGATTTGCCTGTGTCTACCTCTCATTTTACCGTCCCTGGGATTACAAGCATTACAAATTCAGCTTTTTATAAATGTTCTTGGTGATCAGAATTCAGATCCCCATACTTTCCAGGCAAGAGCTTTATCGACTGAGCTATCTTCCCAACCCCTGTAGTATGCTTTTTCAAAAATATAAGTAGAGGGGCTGGAGAGATGGCTCAGCAGGTAAGAGCACTGACTGCTCTTGCAGAGGATCCAGGTTCAATTCTAAGAACCCACATGACGGCTATGAACCATCCTTAACTCCAGTTCCAGGGGACTCCAAAGCCCTCTTCTGACCTCCGCGGCATTGCACAACACGGATGCACTCACATGCAAGCAGGCAATACACTTATACACATAAACTAAAAATAATAAAATATTTTTTAAAACTATAAATAGAAGGGGTTCGTTAAAACAGCAGAAATTATGTATTGTATATACTTGAACCAAAAATATCGTTTATTATTCAAGTTTTGTGTAGCATCCACAATTGTCTAGACTATTTTTTCTATACAGTTGATAGAATGGTCAGCTTGCCTATAACAACATTATCACAAACACATCAGTAATTCATTGCACCACAGTGCCAGGATGGCTGTAATGTCACCAGGCACTAGGAATTTTTCAGATCCATAATAATCTTATGGGGTCACAGTCATATGTGTAGTCCCTCATTGACCAAAACATTTAAACTCTTTCAACCTCTAGAGCCAATATTGGTGTCATTGATTTCTTTCCCATGAGTCCAAATTCCCAGTCCCAGCCACTGAACAGACCTGGGAAATACCTAAAGTAAATCCTAATTCTTTCCAACTTAAGCAACTCCTTACCCATCACCACCCATGCCATTTTATATCTTGTTAGGTTTCTAACTCATCTCAGGGAACAAGAGATAGGGAGGATTTAATAATCATCAACAAGGGAAATGTCTTTGTTTTCTTTTGCCTTTAATAACTTGGCAATCTAGAAGGATAGCATGGGGCAGACACTGGCTACTAATCAAAATGGAGGAGCTGAGGCTGGTGACATAGGCCTGTAAACCCAGTTACTCAGGAGGTTAAGATAGAAAGATATCAAGCACAAGACCTGCCTGGGCTACTGAATGAGCTGAAAGACCTGTCTTGTCAACTTAGCAAGACCCTATCTCAAAGTAAAAAGCAAAAAGATAGCTGGGGATAGAGCTCAGTAGTAGAGTACTTGTCTAGCATGTACAAGACCCTAGGTTCAACCCCCAGTATTGGGAGACAGAAAAGAGGAGAAGGACCAGGAAGAGGGAAGAAACAGACTCCATTTATTTACCCAAAAATATTTGCAAAGTACCTGCTATACGCCCCCTCCTGTTCTAGGCTCTGGGCAACTGTGCAGAGAACACATGGAGAACACAGGCCAGTGGCTTCCTCTTGAGGCACTTTCTTGCTAGACATAAGCAAGGCCTAGAAATAACATAAGATTAAAAATGAAGATCTGAAAATTCTGGCTATAAAAAAGTACCCATGTAAGCCAGGCATGATGGCACATGCCTGTAATCTCAGCACTTAGAAGATTAAGACAAGAGGACTGTGAACTTGAGGCTGGTTTGGGCTACACAAGAAACTGTCTCGGGGGGCTGGAGAGATGGCTCAGCAGTTAAGAGCACTGGCTGCTCTTGCAGGAGACCTGGGTTCGAATCCACATGGCGGTTAACAGGTATCTGTAACTCCAGTCAGGGATTCCCATGCCCTCTTCTGCCTGTGGGCACTGTAAAACATGGGTACACTTATATACATGCAGGCATAACACTCATACACATAAAATAAAAAATAAATAAATAATGTTTTTAAAAAGAAACTCTCAGAACTAGCAACAACAAACAAACAACCCCATATAGGTGATTTTTTTAAAGACATCATGGATAATAGTAACAGTAATTACTACTTGAGTGGTTACCATGAGTTGGAGTGGATTGGCTGGATTGAGGCTCCCTGTGATGGTTAGTTTTAATTGTCAACTTATAGAATGCAGAATCACCTGGAAAGGGAATCTCAGTGAGGAACTGTCAAGATTAGGTTGACTTGTAGCCATATCTCTGGAGGATTGTCCTGATTACAACGGAAACACCCAGCCTAAAAATGGGTGATGCCATTGCTTGGGTTTGGGTCCTGAATTGTATAAAAATGGAGAAGGTGAGCTAGTAAAAATGCATGTATTTGGGGCTGAAGAGAACATACATACATAAAAAAAGAAACTCTCAAAACTAGCAATAACAAACAAACAAAACCATATAGGTGATTTATATACATACATAAGAATGCACTTACATACATGTAGGCATAATACTCATACACATAAAGTAAAAGTAAATCCAAAAAAGAATTTTTTTAATGTATATATTCACTCTCTTTCTGCTCTTGACTATGGATACGCTGCTTCAAATTCCTGCCACCTTGACCTCACTGCAGTGACGTATTGCTGTCTGGAAATATGAGCCAAATAAACCCTTTTTCCCCCAAGCTACTTTGTCAAGGTATTTCATCACAGCAACAGAGAAGAAAACTAGGACACCCCCAAACCCTGCCCTAGAACTCATATGTTGAAGTCCTAATCCCAACACTTCCAAATGTCTCATGTTTGGAAACAGAGCAACTTACAGATGTAACCAACTACCATGAGTTCATAGTGGAGTGCATTCTTAATCCAACATGACTGGTATCCTTATGAAAAGGGAAAATCTGAACACAGACACACTCAGAGAACCCCACATAGAGACTGGTCTTACATTACCACAAACCAAGGAACTGCCAGGAGCAGGGAGTAAGCCCCAGAGGAGATTCCCTCTAGCACTGCAGAGGGAGGGTGCCCTGAAGATACCTTGATCTTGAACTTCTAACCTCTAGAATTGTGAAACAAACTCCATTGTTTGGGACACTCGTTATGGCAGCTTTAGCAAACTAATGACACTGTATAATAGGTGTGGGGTGCTTAATGTTTACAGAAATTATCTCATTTAATCCTTACAGTTCAGTAATTGTTAAATTACCCATTTTATAGTATACATACAAATTGAACTGGAGGGAGTCAAGCAACTTACTCAAAATTGAGCAGCTTTAATTTAAAAAAAAATTAAGGGTGGTGATGCTCAAAGCTTAAATCTCAGAGGAACCAACTTTCCACTTTCAATCTATTCCAAGCAGGCAAATCCACTCTCTCTTCTCTTCTCTCTCTCTCTCTCTCTCTCTAAAAAGCATTGCTGTCTTAATCTCCTCTCTCTCTCTCTCTCTCTCTCTCTCTCTCTTCTCTCTCTCTCTGTCTCTCTCTCGCACGTGTGCTCTCACTCTCTCGCTCTCATGCTCTCTCGCTCTCTCTCACTCTCTCTCACTCTCTCGCTCTTTTCCTTTCCATTCTTGTTTCAAATGCATGTTGTCTATGGTCATCTTGAAGATGCTTGCTTGGTGATAAAACTGATTCATTTACCTACTCAAAGTCTACAGAAGCATAAATTTCCAGTAAGTAGTGATGTTTAAATACTGTGTACAGTACCTCCTACCTCCTCATTTACCAACAAACCATTAAGCTAACTTTCCTGGTCCCATGATATCTCTGTGTACAACCTCTGCTACACTACACACTTACAGAGCAAGAAGCCATAATAGTATGGACTGTTGATGTTATGAATGTGCATTCAGTCTATGGTTTTGTCCAAGACTTGTCCCCCTGTTGGGTAAAAATTCTATATCTCAGCTTGAAAGGAACTCTCAGAGGAATAAGTCTGAGATAGTTCAAAAGCTTCTAACTTCCTAGTTAAGGCGAATAAGTTAACAATCCTATCAGTAGGCCAAGAGTTGAGGCAGAATATCTGCAGATAGGCTTCCTTGAATTCCAAGCAATAGAAAGATCTGAAAAACCATAAACTCAACTCTGGGTTCATGGTAAAGTTTTTGTATTCTCTGCATTGTTAATGACAGCAATATCTATGACTTTGAGTCAAGAAAGAAATCATTGAATACCATTCATACTGTGCATAAATACAGGGCCATCTCACATAAGAGAAGAGCAGTGACCATTATTTCTCAAACTAGAATGGTCTATAGCAGTTTCGTAAACTTTTTCTACTCAAAATCCCTTTGGCCTGAATATAGGTACATAAAGAAGTATACAAATCAAGCACCTACAGATAATAATCACAAAGAACTGTATTTTTAAATGATTCTTTGGTATACACATAAAATTGCTGTTTATTAAAGACAAAAGCAAGGGGCTAGAGAGATGGTTCAGCAGTTAATTGCACTTGCTGCTCTCACAGAGGATCAGAGTTCAGCTCCCAGCACCCACACGGCAGCTAACAACTGTCTGTAAACTTCTGGTCTCTGTAAGCACTGCATGACATGGGTGCACTTACATACATACAGGCAAAACACTCATACACATAAAAAAATAAAAATTAATTAATAAGTTTTTTAAAGATAAAAGGGGACCAGCAAGATGGCTCAGCAGGTAAAAGCACATGATGCCAAGACTCATGACCTGAGTTTGATCCCTGGGACCCCCATGGTGGAAGGAGAGAACCAACTGCTGCAAGTTGTCATCCGGGTGCCATACACATACCTTGGCATGTACATATATACACACAAAAAATAAATAAATAAATAAGTAAAATGTAATAAAAATAAAAGCAAACTTACACAGAAATGAGATAGATTTGCTTGTTCAGTTTTACATAAGGAATTAATTCTTGGCTTAATAGTTGAAACTGAAGGACACAGAGCATTTGTAACATTTTTTGGAATTGCGTGATATTTTTATTTTATAATTGTAAATGCTGAGAACACCATTTCACATAAACACATAATAAAAAATAGCAAAAGTATGTTTAGGGCTTTTTCAGAAAGTGTTGGAGGGGGCTGGAGAGATGACTCAGCCATTAAAAGCATTTGCTGCTCTGTAAAGGAGGCTCACAACCACCTGTAACTCCAGCTCCAGAGGAATCCAATGCCCTTGTCTTCAGGCACACACACACACACACACACACACACACACACGCACACGCACACACACACACACGCACGCACATGCTCAGGCACACACACTCATACACATAAATAAAAATAAGTCTATCTTTAAAAAAAAAAAGAAATTGTTGGAAATTCCGTCCTAATACCAAACCAAAATTCATTTAACTTTTTTCATGAAAACTCAAGTCAACAATTCAGTCATTTTCAAAATCAAACATTTTAACACAATAGGATCTGAAGATATGCTAATTTGATGCTGAGAAATGATGATAGGAAAATATTTAAAGTCTTTGTTTTCCATAACTAAATTATTACATTTCCATAAGAAAACTTTGTGCATACAGTAAAAGCACTGTAATTCACAACACACAAGTCTCAAATCTCAGTCAAGGTGTTCATGCAGTGCTCACCGGCTTCGCATGGCATGATGGTATATCCAGTACAAAGTGCACACCATGTGCTCAGCAACTAGGCTACAGTGAAGCCCCATGACACAGCACAAGAGAGGGCTGCCAGAAACACCTTGGATTCATTACATATTTGATTGTGAATTAATTTTTGTTCATTGCACTTTCAGAAACCTTTTACTATTGCCACATTTTTCATGGACCCCCACATTCAGTTACACGACCCCATGTGGGGAGAGGTTGCAACTCACAGTTTAAGAAGCTGAAAGTTGCATTAGGTTTGTGTGTGTGCTTATGTGTTCCATTTTGCTAATACTTTGAAAGCTGAACGTACATTAGGTCATCTGGATGGCCACTTTCTAAGTTAGCTGTAGAAAACATTTTCCATTTTCAAAAGCATCAAAGCCAAGTTACACCATTAGACCTGTCACTTGCCAGTAGGCCTTGATTTTGAGAGAAAGCATAGAAAAGAGCTAAGTAAAGGCTAGGTGACACACTGACAGGTTACAACAGTAAAGGTTTTTATGCTACAGTCTTGCACATAATTTAAAGAATTTTCAGGGGGAATTTTGATTACATCCAAATTTTTTTTTTCAAACTGGCTTTAACACTAACCACCATGTAAGACATGATTCCACAGTAGTTTAAACAGTATGGAAGTGATTAAATTACCAATGGATATCAACCACTGCATGCCAAACTCAAAAATTATGCACCATAACAGTTAAAGCATAATAACAAATATTGATTTATTTTCAGCAAGACATCAGCCTAACACCAACCAGCATACTAAATGAGTGTTGCTACTGTGCATTTTGTGGAGGTGATAGCTTTGGCTGACTTTATTTACATTTTTGGTGGATTTGACAGTGATATAAGCATATGAAATTTAAGCTTTAGCATATTTGTCCAAATTTAGGGTGCATTACAATTAGTTTTTTCTAAGTCCAGTAGTAAGAGTCATAATTTATATTATTTTTAAGGTGTATTTTTATTTTGACTGTGTCTGGGGGGTAAAGGGGCATATAGATGTATGTATGGTGTTATCCCCAGAGACCAGAAGAAAGTGTCAGATCCCCTAGAGCTGGAGTTATAGGCAGTTGTGAGCCTCCTCACATGGTTGCTGGGACCTCAACTCAAGTCCTCGGAAGAGCAATGTGTTTAACCTCTGAGCCATCTCTCCAGACACCAGAATTTATTTTTAAGAATCTAAAATCTGTATCTTATAACAATTTTCTGGTGACTAAAAGGAAAGTAGCTTGAGGAAGAGCATTTTTTCCCCAGTTCACAGAAATGTGCCTTGTGTGCTGACTTTAACCTCCTTTCCCCACTGAACTGTGACAAAATCTAGACTCCACCAGGCACTGTGATTTTATTTGGCTTTTTCATAACTCTGTCAGAGCACATCACATTGAACCTGCCTCGAGCAGTTAACACTCTGTCCCTCCTCTTATTCTATTTCCCTACCCACCTCTTCTTTCTCTCCCATAGATCTGGACCTAACCACACTGTCTTCTAAGTCACAACAGATCACTTTTCCTGGTTAATCTCATATTCCAAAATTAACATAGCTTCTGAGCTGCCCATTGTGGGAACATGCCAGATCCCGTGATCCGAGAAGACAGGAGGGCTCCAAGCCGAAACTGTATTTATGGAGCTCTCTCTGTTCTGCCCTATCTGTCTGGATCTGCTCCAGAGCCTCCTAAACATTAATTCGTAAAACTATTAATGCATATACTGCTCACATAGGGATACAAATCACTCTGAGTCACAGCTGGCTCCTGCTCCTTTACAACAGTCAGCCTCGGAGTCAATTTCAGCTCCAGTTAAGTTGTCACTGCAGCAAGCCCCGCTATAAAACTTGAACTTTAAAGCAGCACATGGTCCGACCCTCAAAATCATCATCTTTTCTATAAGAAACCTCATCTAAAACCCACAAAACAACTGACAAAAAGCTACAGAGCTGAGGACAGTGCCTACCTCTGCCAGAAGAGAATGGGAGAGAATGGAGCAGTTCTTGAGAAACTCTCCATCCGTGGTGACAAAACGTTCATGGGTTAAAGTGAGGGTGGAGCAGACAAGATAACTATAGACTTCCATTCTTTGAATGTGTGAAACAGACTAACATTTTAAATTTTAAAGAGAAAAAAAAGAATGTCATGCACATTGATGGAAGATCGCGCTCTGCTTATTCATCAGAGAAGTTATAGGACATCTATTGATGAGTCCAAAGTTGCCACATTCAGAGCTAGGAGCTCGAAGGGCCTTGTCTCTGGGGAAAATCACGAATGCATTTGCTGATGGAACATAGGAAGTTTTGTAGTTCAAGTTGGTGAGTGCTGACAACAGTAGCAGTGAGCAGGCTGGAGGGTGGGAGCGGGGGTTATAAGTAGACTCATGGAGTGTAGGTACACAGTATGTCTCTCTGTCCAAGCTTTTGCTTCCCACATGTCCCTAACCCCATTGTTAAATTCTTTAACCAGCCCCTGCTTCTCTGGCTGTGTGAAAGGAGGGGTGTTAACAGTGTATCTATTCTGCCACCTAGCTTTCAGTATTGTCATTACACCAAAGCTGTCTTGAGCTCCTCTGTTCAGACCTCAGTCCTGCCGAACTTCCCTTACTGGGGATGGACTTGGGGATGCCCCTTTTTAAAGGTCACTGTCCCTCACTTTGGAACCTAGATGAGACAGTGGTGTTAGAATGTCTGATACATTCTGGTTACTGGAGAAAAGACTGAAGTCAATGACACGAGGTCTTGAAAATGGAACCAATGGCGTCAATCAACCTGAGTCAGTAGTTAGGGCAACACAGAGAAGAGTGAAGTCAAGCTCTGGCTCTCCCTTTAGTCTGAAGAATCAGGATACTTTGGGTCCTATTAGGAAGGCTTGCTTCTCCATATTTTGTTAACAGATATCACCCCTGTCCTGAAATCACTTGGTTGGTGGGCAGGGGGGCAGATTTTGAGTAGTTTTGTTTGTTCTGAGGCAGGTCTCCCTCAAGCCCCAGATGGTCTGGAACTCCCTTTGTTGACCAGGCTGGCCTCAAGCTCACAGAGATCTGCCTGCCTCTGCCTCCTGAGTGCTGAGATTGAAGGTGTGTGCTACCACCAGGTCCAGCCTGTTAGTATTTGTCAAAGCAAAGGAGAGGGTGACCTCAGAGGAAACAGGACACAAATGGATATTTAACTTCTATATTCCAAAAACTGATGTGCCTAAGGGTTTATCAAATCTCAGCTATGCACAAGTAGGAAAGTTCATGGCAGCAAAAATCAGTCAGCAGTAAGGAGGTCTGTAAGAGTGGAGCCTGACCTCTGAAATTTGAATCTGACAGGAATAAACCAGCCTATCTCAATGAAACTCATTGATGTAAACTTTTTTTCCCAAACAATCTTATAAAGGTGATTGTGAAAAGACTGAAGACTTCAGAATGGAGAGGAGATAGAATGGAATCGTGGGACACCCATAGGTGCCCCAACACTCTCATCACCCAATGTCACATGTCAACTATTCAGCACAAAACTCACCATCAGCCACCCACCTAACTTCGGAAATGTCCCTGTAGACAATCTTGGGATGCTAAGAATTTTTCTTTCTCTTATGTCCTCCCAGGACATAACCCAGTGTCCTTGGACAGCAGTGTCTGTCCCTAAATTCTTCTTGACCTAAGCCCATTTGGAAGTAGAGATCAAAAATCCATGGTTGCTTAACATGGACAGTCTTGCAGTGACCTCTCCCATAGCCCTACCACCACCCTCCAAGAACCAGCTCCTAGAACTTTCTCTTCTTCTCTCTGCCCATCTATCTTTTCTATGAACCATCCCCTCCTCCCTTTACCTGTCTTCACATATTGTATTTTCCAGCCACTGGAAATCCACTCAAAAAAAAAAAAAGAGCTGTTACTGGAAGCCATCTTCTGAGAGCACAGGATGACTATAACCAGGCAATTCATGTTCCCTTGGCACCCCAGTTTCCCCAGTCATAGCAAATGCCACCCATGTGCCTACGGCGAGCTAAACTACGAAAACAATACAGAATGAATGCCACATCACAAACCCTTCTGCCACAATTCTAGTCTAAACTTGATTCAGATGAGAGAAAATAACACTTGATCTCCCTCACTTCTAAAATATTTCAACCCGATTTTTTAACATTCGTTTGCTCCCTGTTTTGGCAAACCTTCCAACAGAAGGAGGAAGAGACTAAAACCAGCCTTGCTGGTCGGTTTTTTGGCTTTTTGGTGTTCGGCTGGTGCACACAGCTCCTCTCTGTCCTAGCTAGCACCTAAAACCCCTTTGGCAATAGGAGCAAGAGCACAACTTTAAACTTTGGGCTTGTTTTAAAATGTGCCTTTCAACAAGCAGATGAGCCAGAAGCAAGATCCAGTCTGGGAGTATAACAGTACCAAGTAAGATGCTCTCAAATCAAACCAGCAAGAGAAATATTTTCTCAAAAGAGTCCTGCAGAAAGAATTCTAATCATAGATGAGGGTGCAGTCTAGTGGCAAAATTCATGAAATGCAGCCCCTTTCCAAAGGAAAGAACACATTCAGCAGGGGAGGAAGAACCTGTTAAAAAAATAAAAATAAAAATAAAAAAAGACACTCCAGAGAGACAGCCACTTGATCATTTCTCTGGCTTAAGGTGGGCAGTCCACAGCCCACCTATTGTGTAAATTTCATTATTTCAAAGAAAAAGCTAAAACAATCACCTTCCTTTTTTCAAGGATTCGGTTTTCTTTCATTTTCCTAAGGAAAGAATGACCCCTAGTGTGGACATATTATTTGAGGTTTCAAGTGGCATGGTAAGGTTCTGGGTCAGGATTTCTCCTGAGTAGGTCCCAGGGCCCTACCATTTCATATCCCTGAGCTGTATCCCTTTGCACCCATCCACCTGAGGACCAGGGCTCCTGTGGTTTGACCTTCATACACTCCAGGAACAGCCTATCCAACAGAAGGAAACATCCTGGAAGGTATCTCCAGTCTACCTTCCTTCCATCTAAAACTCAGGAAGGACACCTTAGGGCACCAGGCAAAATTAGAGTCCACAGCATTTCCTCCAAAGTACCATTCACTGATCCCAAGAAAGCTTGAGCTGGGTGGGTACTACTTCCTGGAAGTGCATGTAAGATGTGTGTGTGTGTGTGTGAAAGAGAGAGAGAGAGAGAGAGAGAGAGAGAGAGAGAGAGAGAGGCTCCCCTGGTCAACAGTATGGGAAAGCAGCCATTGAGTGACCTTACAACTAAAAACAGTGCCCCACCTACAACAACAATAACAAAAAGTACTTGATTTAATCCTTTTTTGCAGACTTTTGGTGGAGGGAAGGGGTCCAATTTTCCTTTTTCTTTCTTTCTTTCTTTTCTTCTTTTCTTTCAAATTCAGCTCAACACCCATCACTAGCCAGTGTACACTACTTGTCCCACAAACAGAAACACACAAACCTTTCCTGGTCACTTAGACACTAGCAGACACTCCTTTTCCAAATGTTAGGAAGCATTTCTTAGGCAAGGTATACACCCATTTGGTTAATAAGAAAATGTGACCCCTCCCCAAAAAGTGTACTCGCTAGTTGAGGGGGGCTCCGAGTCACTTCATTGTATTCACCCTGCTCCCCAAGATTTCTCTCTTTCATTCGTCCCTTTACCTTCCCTTGCCGTGCTCTGCAGCTCCAGGCCTGCCCCCTGCCCCAGCCCTTTTCTTACATTCCAGGGTGGGGGTGGAGGACGCAGTTCAGGGAGCGAAGGGGAGCCCCCTTGTGTCTAGAAGGCCTCTCCCCACCCCCACCCCGTGTGAGTTTGTGCTGCAAAGCTCCTTGGCATCCTTGCATGGGTTGGGTGTTGGGGAGCTCAAATTGCAGCTACAACTGGCTGGCAGCCAGGGGCCGTCTATTTAAAAGCGCCTGCTCGCCCAGAGCCCGCAGTCTCTTTGGAAACTTCTGCCGGGGTAAAAAAAAAAGAGCTAGGGAAAAGCTGCAAAGCTGTGTGGGCTTTTCCCTTTTTGGCTCCTTCTCATTTTCCCCTCCTGGGTCTGCACCCTTCTCCGGACTTCACAGAGAACCTGCGAATTTCGAAGAGGTGGTAGCAGAGTGGGAGAAGGGAGGTCTTAGAGTGTGGGTCTGGTGTGGTTTAGAGGTTTGCTATGTTTTTTGGGTTTTTTTAATTTCTTGATTTCAACATTTTTTTTTCCACCTTCTTGGCTACTGCCAACGCTTTTTACCTATTCCGCGGAAGCCGCGCGCAGCTGAGGGTTAGAGAGGAGTGGGGTACGTTTTAGATTTCAAGCAAAAAAAAAAAAAAAATTGAAGACAAATCCATTTTTCTCCCCCCTCCCATCCTTTTTCCATAGCCTCAGAGATCATTTCTGTTGCTTTGGGGCGAGCAATTTTGTAAGACTTTTCCCCTCTGCAATTCTGACCAGATCTGGTCTGGGGTTTTCTGGGGTCTCGGCTCACTCTGCGTGCACCTGGCGCGCCTCTTTTTTTTTTACCCCCCAACCTGTTGCAAGTCTTTAATCCTTGCAATTGGGACTTGCTTGCAGCTTCCTGAATCCTCCTCTCCCTACATTTTGCAAGTGACTGGGGGAGGGCACCTGCTCTACCTGCCAGAGATCTAAAAAAAAAAAAAAAATCTCCAGGCGCCCTCTTGGCCCCTTTCTTCACGCACTCTCGCTCTTCTGCCCCGCCCCGAGGTAAAGAGAGACTCAGAGAAGATGGTGCTCACCACGGTCCTCCTGCTGCTGGCTGCCTATGCGGGGCCGGCTCAAGGCCTGGGCTCTTTCGTGCACTGCGAGCCCTGCGACGAGAAAGCTCTGTCCATGTGTCCCCCCAGCCCCCTGGGCTGCGAGCTGGTCAAGGAGCCCGGCTGCGGCTGCTGTATGACTTGCGCCCTGGCGGAGGGGCAGTCCTGCGGTGTCTACACTGAGCGCTGCGCCCAGGGTTTGCGCTGCCTCCCGCGGCAGGAGGAGGAGAAGCCACTGCACGCCCTGCTGCATGGCCGAGGGGTTTGCCTCAACGAAAAGAGCTACCGCGAGCAAGCCAAGATTGGTGAGCGCATCCGAGTGCCAGTTACACTGCGCACCGGCGAGGGCACTAGGGACCGGTTGGGGCCGTGCGCTTTGCGCAGCAAGTGGCTTAGAGAGGGCGGCTCGTGCGGGTAGACCGGTGGGTACTTTTGCCTGGGACTTAGAGCCCAAGAGGATCCTGCTATCCTGGGCTGCTGTATAAACCAGCCTTTCCCAGTTTGCAGTCAATCTCCTCCCAGCCTCCACCCAGTCCGACCCTCCCCCACTCCTAACTCGTGGCAATACTGATTCCAAGCTCCGACTGCGTCTCAAAGTCCAAAACCCCTGTATCTACTCTGAAAGAGAACAGGTTAAATTTCCAACTCCCTCCTCTACACCCCCATACTTTTTTTTCACCTAAACTTGAGGAAAAAAAAAAAAAAGCATTGTTAAAACAGTGTTTTAACTAGGGCCTGGAGATACATTACCCATCTTCGGAGCAAATTCTATCTTGATCCGTTCAAGTGCCCCCCGCCCCATCCCGGTGCCTCCAGATTTATCTAGCCCTGCACTCCTTCTTGGCTGGGGCACAAACGCGCGCGCGCGCGCGCACACACACACACACACACACACACACACACACACACCACACGCGCGCGCGAACATACAGCTCATCTTTGGTAACTAATGCTTTCTGGGTGGTGTTGAGCCCCCTCCCACGGGTGCACTTACTGCTTTTGACTTGATATGATCGAATGTGATAGATGTTAAAGCACATTAGACTGCAATATGCCTTTTTTTTTCCCCTCTCAGGGAGAGAAAGAATACTTCAGGAGTGCTGGGGTAGGGCGTGGGAGACGGGGATAAGAAGGGTGTGCTATTCTGTGCTGAGTGTTCGTCCCTGAATCTAATTCTTTTTTTCCCCTCCTGAATTCAGATTGTACCTAAGATAAAAGGTGGACGTAGGTATGTGGGATGAAGACATCCATAACTTCGCAGTTGATGCTGACCCTCCCCGTCTCTTCATCCTCCCCTCCCTTTCTCCTCCCTCCAGTCCACCCTATCCCCTAACCGCACCCCCACACACTCCCTACCCCCACACAGATACCCTCAATTCTGACTGAAAGTGAGCGTGGCTAAATGCTTGAGAGGCCCTGGAAATGCAGAATGCAAAATACAAGGGGCGGAGACAGAAAGACCACTCACCCGGAGCCACGCCTCCTCTTGCCCCGCCCTCTCTTGCCCCGCCCCCTAATCTCGGCGCCCCTTGTCTAGGGTTTAAATGATTGACAGAGCTTCTTGTTCAATCATAACAGTTCTGCCTCCTTAAACCGGGTTTCTTTTTGGAGTTATCTGATCTTATATATATTTAATGATGCACAAAATCTGGGCTCTGAGACGTTAACTTGGTTATTGATTCTCTCCTAAAGGTGTTAAGACAACTAAATGTTTATTTGGTGCAGTTCCTTACGGGCACAAAGCCATGCTCACCACCTGTTGTCCTCCATTACTCTCGGGCACTCCAACAGTTTTGTTTCTTGCTTTGTCTAAAGCAAACTACGGACTTACCGGCCTCTCCACGTAGAAGAGTGCGTGCGCGCGTGCCTACAGGCAGCCGAGCTTGCATGAGCTCAGCCTTTATACCCGGGAACTGCAGGTTTTCTCTGTCCCAAGAGATGATAGCGGGACGGGGAGGGGGGAGGACGTACAGCCCTCAGAAGCCCCAGAGACCGATTTTCGAGGTTATTTTTCACTAAGTTCCTACCCACCGAAACGGTAGGAATCCATTATCTGGCTCCGAGACAGGCGCTGTGGAAAACAATCCCGTCACATCCAAACAGCGCAAGTTATGACTCGGCAGTATCCCCGCCCCACTTTTATTTGCCCAGCCATGTAATTGATGTGGTGTACTTGATATGGGAGGTGCGCGCGCAGTGCGCACGCGCATGCGCATCTGCTGGGCCGGCAAAGCGGCAGCATCCAACTTCCCAAGCCACCCAAACTGCACGCATGCTCACACACGCGATTTTTTGTTCAGCGCCAGATGCGCTTTAGACTTCTCTGCAGCCGCTTCAATCTCCACCTTCAGGAGCCGGCCTCAGCCGCCGGGCTCCTCGCCCACCCCACCCGGCCTCAGGCAGGTGCTGGCGGGCTGCAGTTGCGCATTGGCTGCTCCACCCGAAGAGCCCGAGCTTCCAAAGAGGAGCCATTGGCTGAATCTCTAAAAAGCTAAAGATGACGTCGTCCTTAAGGAAAGGAACATGGATAGTGAGAGAAAGGAGTGTCCTATCGGCCTTTAACCAAAATTCCTACTCCCTAGACCCCCTCCCCACCACCAAAATCGGAGCAGTATGAGCGTGGATTTGCCCCTTTCTCCTGGAGATAAGAGATTGCATTTATGCCGTATTTATATATAGTATGCAACCAAAAATATAACTTACATATTCGTATATTACTTGCATTATATAACCACCACCACCCCAATACAGTGCATTTCTAGAATGAGAAGCGCGGAGCGGAGGAGTCAGTGAGGTGGCACGCAGCCAAAGTTTTCGGGAGGGAGAGGCAGGCGGGCGGAGACTGCTGTTTTGCTGGGTGCGTTGCTGAGCGACAAGAGAGGGAGTCGCCTAGAGAAAGCCTGGTGCAGGGAGCGCGCCTGGCCCTGCATTTTCTTTTGACCCGTTCAGGGCCCAGAGATAGATATAGAAACGGCGGGCGGTGTGTAAGGCTGAAGGGACGAGAAAGACCAGAGTTCTTTATTGAGACTAGCGCAATAAATACCCGCGAGCTAGAATGTGTCAAGGAAGACCCAGGCTTTGCTGGGGGCGTTATCTAGGAAAGGGCCTCATAGCCTCAGCAGTAGGTATCCCAGAGTCTGGGAAGTATCTCCTAAGCTAACTAGCAGAGACATGAAGTCTGAGATGTGAGCAGAGGGTTCTGAGTTTCAATCATGTCATTGAGAAATAAGGCAAAGAGAAACAGAAAATATGCTTCTGGGAAAGACAGGATGGAAGAAAAAAACATTACCTAAATGAAAATGAATTCAGCCTCTGCTTCTTTGAGGAGTTTGGCCTCCATCGGCCTGGCTTTAACGTCAAGCCTGGTCCAAAAGCCACTGACGAAGTCAAGTTCCAGAGTAAGGTTTCTTGGCCATATTCATGTCTGGGTTGAACAAGATCATGGAAAACTGAAGGAGGCAGATTCCTTTCCCACCAGCGTTCTCTCCCTTTGAAACAAGTCTTTGAGAGGTGTCTGTGCCTGAGCCAACCAAAACGGGGAGTTGGGAAGACAGGACTGGTGCTTTAACTTGACTTTTCTTGCCTTTCTCCCATCTTTCTGCTGTGTCAACCAGGCCTGGCGAAACCAGCATAGCTGTCTGTCTCAGAACTCCTTTACTCAGGCAATTCCCTTCCCTCCACCCCGCCCCCTCCCCCCCTCCATTCCCCAACTCTAAGGCATCCCCTAAGGGCATGAGTTTTAAGTCTGAGCAGCTGTGAGTTAGTCCTGGGGCTTGAGCTGCTTTGAGCAGGCAGGTGGGCTTGCAGCTGCACGAGGAGGGCCAGGCTGACCCTCCAGCCAGAGGTCACGGAGAGGGTTAGAGCAGAGGCATGGGATCAGGAATCCCTACAGACCCAGTCTGGGGCCTTAATGTGGGGAGGAGGAGAAAGACAGGAGAAGGAAGATTTACCAAAAAGTTTTACTTTGTACCTGAGCAACTGATGCCTATGGAACCATGTGGTATTTAATATAGTGAAAAATAAAACTTTTCAGGGGGAATCATGGCCCTCCAGAGCTACCACATCCAGAAGCTGGAAGAAGTTCATATACAATCAAGTGCCAACAAGGGACTGGGGTAGAAAAAAAGGGAGCAGAAAATGGTTTCCAGGATAGACCACTAGACAAGTGGGAAGAGTTTGTTTAGTTCAGTTACTGTAGTTTGCATTTTTACCACGGTTAGTAAAATTGCCAACAGTTGCAATTCCCAGACAAGAGACCAGCCTTAAATTCCAAACTGGGTAGGCAATTTGAAGCAATAAGATCAATTACCTATCTGCAGAAATAAATAAAGAAGCCAGTGCAGGCTTCTACTCTCCCTTCTCCCAGGATCCACAGAATCCTCTTTTGTCTACAGTTTCATCTCTTTCCATGATTTCCATTTGAGGTCACTTGTTTCTTTTTAAAAAAAAAAAAGCATAAGATGAGTGACTAGACATTCATGCCAAAATGGCCTTTCCTGCATGGCTACTTGTCTTAGCTCTTCCCTAGTATCTCTCCAGGACTGGTCTGGATACTGGCCAAAGAATGCTGGATTTGGAAGGAACCCACAGCCACCATTAGGGTCAAGGCCCTCACTTTACAGATAAGGACACTGAGGCCTGCCTGGAACAGAAAAAAAAAGAGTTTATGGCAATCAGAACTCAAACTCAGCTCCTCCCTAGGGATTCTAGCCCTCCATTCTGCTATTTCCAGCTCCTTTATTAGTAGTCTCTAGGGCTCTTGCCAAGGTCTCGTCTAACCTGAACTCAGACCTTTGGCCAAAATTGTCAAAGGTTATTCTCCATTGGTGGGAGTTCCAAGTGAAAGAACAGCCCCCACACAAAGCAGTGCTGTGTTCTGTGGGCAGGAGAAGTAGTGAAGTGGCCCCAAGACTTTCTACAAAGTCTTGCACACAGGGCTGGCTCCGGTCAGTGGTTTGGTCAGGGAAAGAGAGAAAAGAAGGTGTCAAGGAATGGTATTCAGCACAGCCTCCAGGTTCATGGGCCAAACCTCACTTCCTGAACACAAGGAGCCCTCCTGATGTGGCAGGCCCTTGCTGCCCCTTGGCTGGTCCATGGTTCCTGTCTCTTAGAAGAACATAGTACCTCGGTGGTCTGCTGTGCATAGCAACCTGCCTCCACAGCAGAGGCCCTCCCTGGGGTTGGCAAGCAAGATGACAGGATCTGAGGTAGGATGGGGTATCTACATCAGAAAGAGGGGGGACCATCTGCCACAGAAGCTGATGAAAAAGATCAAAAGAGCTTCTGAGTTGCGAACACATGCAGGTATGTTCAGTTTTTTCAGCCACACTGTCTGCCTGAGAGGTTGCAGCTAGGGGTTCAGGTTAATCTGAGGCTATGCCAAGACCCATCCTAACCTGTCCCAGAAGCTGAGGAAGCTGAGGAAGCTCATCTCTTTGGGGATGCTGAGGAAGAAGGCAGATAGCATGAGCCCTCTCCCTAGTAGGTTGGACCTAATTACTGAGCCCTTTATTTCGACCATATAAGCTATCTTATTTTTTATTTACCCCTCAACCTAAATTGCTAAACAAAAGGCCTTTGCCCTGCTGAATTCTCAAGCCCTCAATGAAACTGTACTCAGGACAGGGCCTCAGAAGATCTCATTGCCAGTTTCTGGAGCTGTTTTACATGGATTCCTGTTACTTGAACTTTCTAGATTATACCACCAGTGCTATAACATCCCTCTGTTACCCAGGAAAGGTATGTCTCCTTCCAGACTCTTTAGAATTGCACATCCAACTGAAATGTCATGCAAGTCACATGCATCATGTTTAATTTTTTAACAGCCATACTTTCTATTTTTTCCTAGCAGCCAAAACTTTTGAAGGTAAAATTAATTTTAGTAATATATTTTAACATAATATATCCAAAATATTATCTCAACATACACTTAAACAATTATGAAATCATTTACATTCTTTCATGGGAAGTGTTTGGAATCCAGGCTGTGTTTTATCCTTATAGTAAATCTCAAAGTGTCAGTATCTTGAGCTAT